TAGAGTGACCAAGTTAGAGCCTAGACCTTAGTCCTATGAGAATTTATGGGTGGACTTGAACAAGGCTGTTCAGTCACGAGCAGAGCTTGAGCAGTTTTCAAAAAAAGAATGGAATAAAATTGCACTGTCCAGATGTGCAAGGCTGATTGAGACCTTTCTACATAGCCTCAATGCTGTAATTTTGCCCAAAAGTGTTTGTGCTAAATACTGGTTTGAAGGGGATGAATACTTATTGTTTTAATTAATTGACATTACTTTGTAGAGTCATTTTTTTTGTTTTGTTTCGTTTTGTTTTTTGTAAATTCTTGCCAAAAAAAGCCATGTTAAATTGACTATGAGTCAATTTTGAAAAGCAATAAAAGGGGAAACCTTTCAAGTGGGGTGAAAACTGACATGTATGGCAACGTGGATCATCTAGAGACAAGGTTTTACTGTTTTGGTGTGCCTTTGAACGCCTTTTGGATGCTTCACATTTGGTTCCGCACAGAGATCACAGTGACTGTATTTAAATTCAGCACTAATAGAGGCAGTAGAGGGCAGTGTTTAACCAAAAAATGAGAGTCACTGTCTTATATGGAGCAAGTGTTATGTGAAATAAATATATGCACAACTAAAATGCTTCTCATTCAACATTGCACATTTAATTCTTTCAAATAGTGAAGAAAAAAAAAGCCGTTTTGTCGTCCACAGAATGCTGATTGTTAAGTTGGGGTGACACCTATTGGTTAACATTACTACTGCAGCTGTGATCGAATGCTGCCATTTGGTTTTTACACCTGAAACCTTCAACATCTTGAACTATTTTAACTTTTATTCTTATAATTTACACTTTTTGTTGAAGCACAGACACTTTGTTGGGAATTTTCTGTTCAGTAGCCTAATTTAACACTTTTAAATATAAAAGTTTCAACTACAAACTGCCTCTGAATGTTTTTTTTCTTCCTCTTTTCCTTTTAGAGTTTCTCCATTATTTTACACAGACTTGATTTTCTAAAATATATATATTATTAAAATTCTATGTAAAAACCTGAAATAATTTTAGTGTTTCCTTACAGACTGCATTATGAAATTAGCTAATCTTCTATAATGTCTGTGAAAATGTGAAGGGTCTGGAGTTTGCACACATGAATATCTAAACCCATAGATTGGTTTGAAGTGTTTATACTTTGTTTATGAATGCAAATGGGAGCCACTGCCTAGTTTGAGACCACTGTGGACTTCATCATTTACATCTGTTCCAGTTGTTTCTTCAGCTCCTGGAACTTCTTGATCTTCTTCCTGATGTTACTGTCAACTGGGATTGCCACTTCTATCACAACTGTCCTCTTCTGCTCCTTGTTGAGGACCCAGCAGCTGCTTGTCAGTCGGACATCTGAAGTCCCACAGGATCTTAGCTGTGTTGCTCTTCATCACTTCTTGTGGAGTCCCACAGGAACTTGAGGACCTTTAACCCATGTTCCTGTATACTATTCCAGCCACTTGGTTGTTTCTGTACACTTTCCCAGCTTGCATCTTACATCCTGCTACTACGTGCTGGACCGTCTCAAGGCCTTCTTTGCTCAGTCTGCACCTTTAGTCCTGTCTCCTGTCGGTTCCTGCTTCTAAAGATTTGGTGCTCAGGGCTTGCTCTTGTGCTGCCACGATCAGAGTCTCTCAGAGTCTTTTGTAGCCACCGGTAGGATTTCTCAAGCCAGCCACGGAACCCTAATATGTTACTGACTTTGTCAGTGCTCCATTTTTGAGCAATAAGTGGTGACATGCAATGGAAAATATGGGCAAATTCTGATCCTGTTTATCTTTTAATTCACATTTTAGTTGGCATATTATTTGATCTGGGGTAAATATGTAATAAATTGTTTCAATAATTTTTATTTAAACAGATTGATCATTGCCATGTGCATGATTACTGTCTTTTTAGCCAACACTAAAAATCCTACATTCTAAAACTTACTTGTTCTCCAATAAAATGGTCCCTGTCAGTGTTTTATTATTATGTGACAGATTGGGGATAATGTTAATCTTATATTAATGTGCATGTTGCAATTTATCGCTAGATAGAAGTTTAACGTTGGGCTACGACTGGATGTGTTGAAGTTAATTTTGCACCAGATTTTGACATTTATTTTAATGATAAAGTCACATTTGTGATGAAAATGATGTTGCGTCCAGCTGTTAAAAAAGCGCCCTCTTTGCTGACCATAACACAGTCGCCAGGTCAGATGTATGTTTTCATCCGTGATCAGATTAGAGGGGGATTAAGGAGGATCCAGCTGATCTCAGGTCTGTGGGGGGTCTGCTGCGGCTTGCTGCGACAACCTTCGTTGTCTGTCTTCTCGCGAGAAGCAGCGAAGGTTCCGGTGTTGTGTATGTTCCTGGAAACATGGCGGCCAGCTTCCGCGGCCGTCCTATCCGGAGTCTTCGGATGCGAGGTAAGCGTGAAAAACTGGATTGAGTGGGAGCTATGCTAGCGGGATATTGCAAAAATAGATCTTCTGAAGCATGTGATGACCTCGGAGTGATCCCTCAGCATGTCCGCTGTGTGTGTTTTTGACAGGTCGGAATGACAGCGGGGAGGAGAACGTACCGCTGGATCTGAGCAGAGGTAAGCAGAGGCTTCATCACAGCACCCTGAAAGCGATTATTGTTCAAAATGGATGAGGGGAGTTTCTGCAAACACTAGCTCCGTGAAGTGAAAATCCACATAGTCCGTGCACTTGTCCCCCCATTGCTGTTCCCATTTCGCCACTTTTCCTCTCTGCTTCGTGTAATTACATTGCTATCGATATCATAATAACAGGCGGCAGCAAGCTAACTAACTAGCTGAGTTAGCGTTAGCTAGCAGAGACAGCTAACCAGCCATGACGGCGCTCTGTTGTTTTGATCGGTGTGAGTGGGCAAGATAGCCTGTTATTTAGCCAAACAGCCAAAAGTGTTGTAGTCATGCATTGGTCATCGCTGTCTGTATGAGAAATTAGGTCTCAGGGCTGTTTGCTGAGTAGCATTTAGGCAGCACAGGGTGTTTCTTCCA